GGAACAGATAGAGGCTCTGAAGGCACCATAGTACCCAATGGAGACTTTCTCATTGGCCAAAACAGCCAGAAAGAGAAATCAAGAGACTGACTTTCTCACAATGGGATCCAATGTTATTTAAGGCCATAAAAAGGTTCCCACATTTTGGGAAACAGTGTCCCCTCCTTGTGTGTGACTCTGGGGCAGATCACTTGAACCTCTGCGAGCCTCTGTTTTCTCCTCTGTAAGATCACCTTGTGAGGCAGGGTGGGGGGTGGTGTCTCGGTGATTAGGGTTACTACACTAAAGACGCAGCTTTAGGGGCGCCTGGGTGGCTCAGTTGGTTGGGTGACTGCCTTCGGCTCAGGTCATGATCCTGGAGTCCCGGGATCGAGTCCCGCATCGGGCTCCCTGCTCAGCAGGGAGTCTGCTTCTCCCTCTGACCCTCCCCCCTCTCATGTGCTCGCTCTCTCTCTCTCATTCTCTCTCTCAAATAAATAAATAAAAAATCTTAAAAAAAAAAAAAAAAGACGCAGCTTTAGTTCTACACCCTGGAGCTCCTGCGATATCTGGGACAATGAAATAAGATAGCATTAGCACAGTGCTTGGTGCTGCCGATAAACATTATTAGCCCAGTACCATCCAGTGGAAATCTTGTGTGAGCTACATATGTAACTTAACTTTTTCTAGTAGCCACATTTGGAAACGGGAACTGCTGACATGAATTCTAAAGATATCCTGTATTTAATCCAATATCCAAAATACTGTTGTTTCAACACATGGCCCTGGCCCCATTTCAAGTGCTTAGTAGCCACCATGGGGTCAGAGGCTACCATATTGGATAGAGAAGCATTAGACTTGATTAGTGTTTGTTGCCTGAAGATTAAGCCTTCAGAGACACTCGCCATAGCACTATTATTTTTTTAAAACAAATTCTTTTCTTTTTTTTTTTTTAAGATTTTATTTATTGATTTGACAGAGAGAGACACAGTGAGAGTCAGGGCACATTGGCAGCCTCCTGGCCACGCCCAGTGGCCTCCCCCCTACAAGCCTGTGGGAGCTCCTTCTGGGTACTGACCCAGGGTGGGATGCCCATGTCTCCCAGAGACAGAGTTCCAGCCCCAGCTCCACTTCTGATGGGAGGAGTCCACTCCATCCCAGCACCACCATCCGCACACTGTCCCTCTCCCTGCTCCTGTTTCCATCCCCAGCTCCTCCATCTCCAATTCTGCCATAAGCCCCAGCTTCTGTCCCACTCCTAACCTCATTCCCAATCCTCACCCAGTCTCCAGCCCCTTCCCAACCCCCTTTCCACCCCTTTCCCCTCTCCATTCCCAGCCCCCAACTCCGTTATACCCAAGCCCTCCTCCTTCCCCCTCTGGTGGTTGGTAGAGTAATGATTCCCCCCACATAGCCAGGTCCCTGTCACTGAATCTTGGGAATATGTTCCATGCAAAGAGACTTCGAAGCTGTGATCGACTTAAGGATCTGGAGAAGGGGAGATGATCCTGGATTGTCCTGGTGGGGCCCAGTGTTATCCCAGGGTCTTTAGAAGAGGGTCACAATCAGAGAGAAGGAGGTGTGATGATGAAATCCAAAGGGGAGCGATGTGCACTGAAGTGGAGGAAGGGGCCCTGAGCCAAGGAATGCAGGAAGGTTCTAGAAGCTGGAAAAGGCAAGGGATGGATCCTCCCCTAGAGCCTCCAGGAGGAACTAGCCCTGTGGACACTTTGATTTTAGCCCCATACGACTCATTTCGAACTCCTGATCTCCGGAACTGTAGGATAATATATGTGTGTTGTTTTAATCTACTATTTGTCTTAATTTGTAAGCAGCCCTGGGAATCATACACCCCTCCACCCAGGCTCTGGCCCTTTGCATACCCTCCCTTTCCTCCTTCTCTCCCCCTAGCAGAGAAGCCACACACTTGTCTGGCTGTCCTGTTTCCCTAGTCAGCTCTGTGCAGGGTGATTTCCCAAACTCTTCAGGCTGGGCTGGGCGTGGGCATCCATCACCACCTTGCTTCCTGATGCTAACTAAACTTTTCACTGAAGTCACGGAGAGCCAGATTCCAACCGTTGTGCCCTGCCCTGGCTTTGAGGGAGGGAGGTCAGAGGCCATGCGCTCCAGCCCGACTAGACTCAGGCTCCCTGCTTTCAGCTGGCTGGAAGAGGCGGGGCCGGAGTATGTTTGCTTACCTGGCCCAGCTGGGGGAGAGGATATGGGGGCATGGGCCATGGCTAAATGGTGGGGTTTCAGCTGCCGTGGGGAAGTAAAGAGCCACTCAGGCAGAGCTTTTAGTTTGGGTTCTGGGAACTTCTCACCCCCATACCTGGCATCTTTCCCATCTCCCCAGAGGATCTTGAAGATAGCTCTGGGCACCTGGCAGGGTATGAGCATGGAAGCTTTGACACCTTGTGGGCAATAATAACAACCATAATAATAGTAGCAACGATGATATTAGGCTCTGGGCTAACTAAGCCCAAATGTTTGACCTTCACAGAACACCCTCAAGATTTTCATATTACCCGCCTTCTGCCTTAACTCTTATTTATTTATATTTTGTCAAATAAAACCCCTTTAAAAACCCTGAATCAATTACTTTGAAAAAACAGTGGTAAAATATACATGACATAAAACTGACCATCTTAACCATTTTTAAGTGTACAGCTGTGACATAAAGCACATTCATATAATCATGCAGCCATTACCACCCTCCGTCTCCAGAACTTTCTCATCTTCCTAACCTGAAATCCGTCCCCATGAAGTACGGACTCCCCATTCCATGCCCCAGCCCTGGCTCCCACTGTCTACTCTCTGTCTCTGGGGGCGGGACTCTTCTGGGGGCCTCCTGGGAGTGGGGTCCTGCAGGATGTATCCCTCTGTGTCTGGCTCTTCTCACTGAGCACGGTGTCCTCAAGGTCCATCCATATTGTAGCAGGTGTCAGGATTCCTTCCTTTGTGAGGCTGAATCATATTACATTGTATTGATATACCACATTCTGTTGATCCATTCATCCACCAATTAAAAGCCTAAATCAATTACTTAAAAAGAAACACAGCTCTTTATTTGGGAATAATTATGCACTCACGAGAAATTGCAAGAATTTCACAGGTCTCCTGTACATTTTACTCAGTTTTTTCCGATTGGTACACCTTATATAACTATACAGTTTCAAAAACAGGACACTTACCTGGATGTAACCTACAGATCTTGTTCAGATTTCAATAGCTGTTATGTTCATTTATGTGTATGTGTGTATGCAATTTCTTCACATGTATAGATTTATGTAAACACCCCCAGAATTATAAAGCTTTAATCAATATATTTAAAAAAAGAAATTTTGTAACCCTGCCATGAATGAAAAGTGGATATCACCAGCAGTGAGGCAAGCTTATTTAAAAATAAATACAATGTAAACAGTGTCACTACATTCTGGCTGGAATACTGTTGTCTGCCCAAGGACTTTTTTTTAACCAAACAAAGGGATTAAGTGTTAAGGGGCATAAACAGGTATTAGCGCCAATTAGCCCCTCTCCTGGAGCTATTGAGAATTGAAAAGGGAGTGGATTACTTGCCACACAATTCAGTGATTCTCAAATGCAGGTCCATCCATCACCCAAAGTTGTCTTCCTAGGGAAACACCGTATCAGCTCATTAAATCTGCACAACAGCCCTAACAGAGAGGTACTATTATTTTTCCCAACTTACAGATCAGGAACCTGTGACTCAGAGGGGCGAAATGGCTTGCCCTACTTTCTTTCTAGCTGTGTGACCTTGGGTAAATTGCTTAGCTTCTCTGGGTGTCAGTTTCCTTGCTAGTGACATGAAGGTAACGATAGTCTCTCTTAGAGCTGTCAAGAATATTAAATGAGATAATACTGAATGCTGAGCACTTAGAAAAGAGTGTGGCACCAGTAAGTAGTCAGTAAAATGTGCCATTATTATTATCATTCCCACAGGTTGCCTTAAATTTCAAGGTCAACTACAATAAGAAAATCCGTTACCGTTTATCTTGGGCCCACTTTGGGCCAGGCAGTGCCTTGACTTGCTTTATCTGTGTCCCTTTAGAACAGTTGGGTCTAGCTCCATCCTCCCCATATTACAGATGAGCAAACTGAGGCTCAGAGAGGTAGATTCACTTGCCCAGAGTCATACAACTTAGGAAGGGGAGGAACTCAGAATTAGACTTGCTGACTCTAAAACCAGAGTTTTCCACAGCCCTTGGAAGCCAGGACTAGGGGCCCCCAGGCCTGGAATTCTACAGAGTCCTCCCTTCATGGGGGCTTTGAAGGTGGCCCCTGATAGAAGTTGGGACACTGTAGGCATCTGAGGTTTTGACCACCCAAGAGAAATGGCATCAGTCCTGCCCCAGCCTCCCATAACACAAACAGGAAGACCTAGGCCCCCAAAGGTGAAATGATTGGGCTAGGTTTCATAGCCAAGGACTCCCAGGCAGCTGAGCCAAGTGCATTGGGGGTGGGTGAGCTACTGTTGCCCCTGGTATGGGAAATAGCAGCATGGAGCTTTGACGGTGTGGAGGTAGTTAAACCTAATGGTTAAGAGCCCGGAGCCTGGACTCAGCTGCCTGTTTTCACATTATGGCCTTCCCCCCACCTTGCATGCCCTCAGCAAGTGATTTCGCTCTTTCTTCCTCAGTTTGCTCATCTGTAAAGTGGGGAGAGCCAGCGTACTCCTCTCAATGGGCTCATTATTATTTTAAATTACTGTTCTAATAACAGTCCCCCTAACTCCCACTCCTAGTGGGTAGGGATGGGAAGCACACTCCCTTCCCACCCGCCCCCTCCCACCTCCGCCCTCCCTGGATGGGGCCAGCCCCTCTGCTTATGCCCAGGGCAGCCGCCACCGCACAGCTAGGCTGCCCTGGTGCAACAGGGAGTGGTTCAGCAGGTTTTTCCTCTTGGTCGGCCTGCCTGCCGTGGGGCAACCAGCTGTCCTCTGCCTGTCTCACCTGGGCCTGGCTCTTCTAGGCTCTCATGCTCCTCTCTGCCAGACTGAGCCAGTGGGCACTGGGCGCTGCATCAGGATGCCCAGCATCTTCGCCTACCAGAGCTCCGAGGTGGACTGGTGTGAGAGTAACTTTCAGCACTCGGAGCTGGTGGCCGAGTTCTACAACACGGTGAGGTCCAGGTGGGAGGGCTGGGGGTTGCAGCCTTAACAGACTGGGGTTCCAGTCCGGCTTCTCCAAATCACTGCTGGGGAATCCTGCTTGAGGAATCACCCCTCTGAGTTTTGGCTCATCTGTTAGTCAAGGAGTGCTGGCTTTCATTCATTCATCTTTATTTGGCATCAGGCTCTGTGGAAGGTTTTGGAAATGCAGCAGTGACCAGGGAAACAGCCAGTCTCTGTCCCCCCCCCCCCCCCCCCCCGGAGCAGATGACACAGATGTGACTCCAGGCATTCACAACCCGGGTTGATGGTGCTTGTAATGGGAGTTGCACAGGCAGCCTTGGGGATCAGGGAGGGGGGTTGGGGGGAGTGGATCAGAAAAGGCTTCCAGGAGGAGGTGACTGTGTTTAGTTTTTTTTCAGCTGTACCCCCAGCCTAGGTTGACCAACTCATTCCAGTTTGCTGGGGACTGTCCTGGTTTCAGCATTGAAAGTCCCATGTCCTGGGGACCCCTCAGTTCTAAGCACACCAGCACAGTGGGCCATCCTTCCTCCAGCCCTTGCTAAGGGGCCATATTGGAAGGGCTCGAAATGCCTAAATGGCACAGGCATTTCAGCAAAGCTTCTAAGATGCAAAGCAGCCAAAGATGCATATGGCTATGCTACCGCCCATGTGGGGTGCTGGGGAGACTCCTGTGAATAAGGCAGGCTGCTCACCTTCCTGGAGCCCCTGGGATCGGGGGTGATGCAGGCTATGTGTTTTGCTCTGTACCCTGCACATAGCGAGGGTGCTCAGTACACAGTGAGTGATACAAAGCATACCTTTATTGAGTGCTTACTATGTGTGGCAGGCATTTTACTAAACATTTTACAGGAAAAATCTCAGTTTAATCTTCACAACGACTTTGGGAATTAGGCAGAGTGTATATTACATAGAGCTAATCCCGTTGTCCAGGTGAGGAAATGGCCTTCAGGGAGACTGAAAGACATACCAAGGATCATGCTGGCACTTACAGCTAGGATTTGAACTTGGTACTTCCGAGAGATTCTTTTTGGGGGATGGGGGAGAGGGAGCTCGGTCTCAGGATGCCCTGGTTGCTTTTGCCCTGTTTGACCTCACCAATTTCCAGAGCTGGGAGGTGGGAGTTTGAGATTCAGGGGTTCCCTCTGGTCTCCCTGGTTCTTGCTCCTCCTGGACAGAGATACTGACCCTGGTCCTCAGTACCTTCACCTGACACACAGGAGGGGGCTGAACGTACTGATCTCTAAGGTGGAGAAGAGGTTTGAGGTTCTGGGACCCCTCTTTCTGGATTCCCTGGCAGCCCACCCCGAGGTGGGGGTCCCCACAGAAGGCACCGAGAAAAGGCTGACTTAGGGCTGGGCTGAGCCTCCAGTCTAGCTGTGCTTGACAATGCAAAATGCTCCTCCATTCAGTCCTCCTTCAGCGGTCTCTAAATGTAGCAAATTCAGCCCCTCTCTAAATGTAGCAAATTGAGCGACTGGCAGACACCCTTTGAGGCCGCAGGAGACGTGGTCATGACACATACTAGACTTCAACATCATCATCTCCCAGTACCTGCATTTCCAGATACTTATCAAAGAGAAACAAAAGTTTCGCAAAATGATAGTTGCCTTTCCCTGGTGTGAACATACTTGGACATTTCCTTTCCTATTGAAAAGGCTCTTGCAAAACAGACCAGGGCATGAGGAATTGAATCCGAGTTATGTTATAAAGGGTCTCCCCAAGATTTTCTCCTCCCAAACACTTCTGAGTATCCCAAACCCATCACCAGAGCTAATAAATCATTGAGTTCAGGAATTGGCAAACGTTTGCTACAAAGGCCAGATATTAACTGTTTTTGGCTTTTTGGGCCATACAATCTGTATGGAAATAACTCAGCTCTACCACTGTACCTGGAAAGTGGCCATGGATAGTATGTAAACAAATGAGGGTGGCCATGTGCCAATAAAACTTTATGGACACTGAAATACGCATTTCACTTAACTTTCACGCGTCACAAGATACCCTTCTTTTAATTTTTCAACCATTTAAAATTGTAAATGTTATTCTTGGCTCATAAGCCATACAAAACAAGACAAGGGGGAATTTGGCACGGGGCCAGAGTTTGCCAGCTTATGAGATATAGATATATATATATATATATATATATATATATATATATATATATATATATGTATATGTATATATATTTATAATAACCAGCCAAATAGAAAACAATAAGATCTTTTCCTTTTGGCCTCTCAGATCAGTAATTAAAAATGAATTTACATGGTAGTGAATGTGGGCACACTCGTATTTTGCAGCTTCCTATGGGCAATTTGTCAAGTTGAGTGGAGACATGGAGTTACAGATAGCGCCCCCTCTGCCCCCACTCCGTCATTGCACCTCCAAGAACTTGCGTCAAAGAGATAATCCCAGTGGAAAACAAAATTTATATATAGTTCTGTCTGAGTCCTTTGTAATTGCAATCAAAAATAATGGAATACATAGAAAGGGGGTCATAGCATTTTCACCAGCCTGTGTAGGGCTGAATACATTCTGGTCAAATACTGCGCAGCTCTTTAAAAGCATGTTAAAAGCATGTTTTTGATCCAGGTATGTAAATGAAGACAAAATACGTAGTAAGAATTTTCTCAAAAAATCGATTCATGTTGGTTTCATCAGGATCCACTTAGGAGTCACTTCACTCTTCAGAAACTTATTTTCTGGATGCCTGCAAGGTTTGCTGAGTCTGGAGTGGGGGGAGGCGGAGCCCAGCCCCGCACGATCAGGGTACAGAAGAAGGCAGCTCTCGAGGACTCAGCCCAGGGGTTGACAAATTTCATAGAGGAGGGCACCTAGGAGTTGGGTTTTGAAAGATGGATAGGAGCTTGCCAAGTAGGGTAGGAGTCAAGGAAAAGGGAGAAGGGAGAAAAGGGATGTACTGAGTCCTGGAAATAAAAAGAGCCTGCACAGTTTGGGAAAGGGAAGTGTGTTTCTGTGGCTAGAAAATGAGGAGAGATGAAGATGAACAAGTTTTGAATGCTGGGTCAGTGTTCAAAAAATATATCCCGTATTTCCTGATGGACTCATTGGACTCATTCATTCATCCAGCATCAGTGCTATGAACCAACCCGTGCTGATTTGTCCTGGGGTCCCAGAGAGGCTCAGTGCTCCCAGGATAAGGAAGTGGGGTGTTCAGAATTAGATTTGACCAGTCCCATGATTAGCTTGTGGCAGAGGGAGGGCAAAGGGGCCAGAATGGGCAGCAGGGAGCCATGTGGATGGCACAGGAGGCCTCTGCTTGCTGAATGGGGAGGGAACTTCAATGCTTAAAGAATGAGTAAATGTTCTCTAAGGCATATGGAGCAAACGGACCAGCATAAGCAAAGGCCTTGAGGCGAGAGAGAATAGCAGATCAAGGAACGGTTGGTGGCTTGAAGCGAGAGCCCAGGCTGCCCAAGAAGGAGGAAATGAGGGCTGAGAGACAGGTGGAGGAGGTTTCCAGGGGCCACGTGGGGAATGCCTGGCAGAGGAGTGTGAGCTCCATGGTGAGGGCACCGGGGAGCCGTGGGGGACTTTTGAACAGCAAAGAGTCAATGATGTGGGCAGCAGCTGGGGCACCTGGTTGCCTTTCACAGATGGCCCTGGAGAGCCAGGAAGGCATATCCAACAGGGGCAGAGGTCAAGGGCGTGGGAGGGCCTGGGCCAGGTGGGGTGGAGGAGAAATCAAGGTGTGGGCTGCTCCGGTTTACTTCTGCTGGCATTGGCCTGGTGGCCTCCAGGTGTGGCCTCCTTCTGGGCGGCTGACAACTTAAGAGAGTTTCAAGTCGTGGAGGAGGAAGTTTCCAGGCTCCCTGGCTCTGAGAAGCAGCTGTGCTGCTGAATTCCTTTCCTGGGGTCCTGCCAAAGCTTCAGAAGCTCTGCATCTCATCCTCTCCAGAAAGCTTCCTCTCGGATGCTTGGATAGAGAACAAAGGGGTGGTATGTCTGGAGCGGGGAACGGCATAGGCAAAGGTGCAGTGGTGGGCATAGTCTGGGGGAGGGGTACAATAGAAGGGACAGAGAGGTCGGAGTGGGAGGTTGTGCAAGGGGGTCTAGGCTGCAACATCCGTACCTCCTACAGCCTCCCAGCCTCCTTTTGCAACCGAGCATTCCTGTCGCTGGCCTCTGCACTGTGGGGATTCCTGTCCCTCTCTCTTGAATGCTGTGTGATGCAGGGGGAGACCCTCCCCTCTCTGAGCCCCTGGCTGTGAATAACAGGTCCCATAAGTTCTAAACCACACCTCCCTCTTCTGCCTTCCTTCTCATCAAATTCACAGCAAAAGCAATTGTGCCAGCCTTCCCCTCCCCGCCGAAAATGAGGAGGGCATGATTCCTGCCCTCAGGGAGGGCAGACACTCTTAATTGAATAATTTCACACACTGGGGACCATGCCCATGACACATCTTGGCTCAGACTCGATAGGTCCCTCTGGACCTCTTTTCTCCTTCAGAAAAAGCCTTCTGGGGATGACAGAGGGGTCCAATTTGAAGAGACAATGACCCCTTCATTTTGTTCATGACTCAACAAGAATTGATTGAGTCAGGCACTGTTTCAGGCTCTGGGGACACAGAGGTGACCAAAGCAAATGAAAACGTCTGCCCTCACGGGGCCAGTGTCCTGGGGGATGGAGGAGACAGACAAAAAACAAGTCAGAAGTAAAGCATACAGGTGGGACAGGGAAGAAAGACTCATTCATTCATGTGTTCATTCATTTACTCATTCATATTTATTCAGCAAATATTTACTGAGTACTTGTTCAGAAAGGGAGCAGCTATGGGTGCTAATCGTGATTAACCCGTAGGACCATGGAGAGGATGAAACATCTACTGGGTATCCCAAATGTTCATCGTGGATGAATGGATAAATACCCTGTCATTCAGCCACACAATGGACTACTACTCAGCCATAAACAGGAGTGAAGGGCGGACCCACGCTACATCATAGATGAACCTTGAAAACATGATG